AAAGTAAGTTTTATAATAATAATTATAATAATAATAATAATTGAAAATTTAGTTAGCCGACATTTAAAAATTTTTTTTTTTTAATTATTTCAAAAAAACAAACAAAAATTTCATTTATAAAATTTTGATTTATTTATTAAATTATTATTTATTTTAATTTAAAAATTTAAAACGTTTTTTTTTTTTTTAATTTGTTTAAAGTCGCATAAACTACTAAGATCATGAGCGACTACAGTAGGGAGTAAACTTTTGAGATTGGAACTCGTTTGTATTTCTTGGGCTGAGCAGAATAATACACTTAAATATTGAAAATATTCATTGGTGTACGCCGGACTCGAACCCGGTCCAATGCTTCGGTAGTAAGGGCCGGATCCGATAGGCTACTGCGCGCCTTCTAAAAAACTATAAGTGCAATTTTTTATAAATATTTTAAGTTCTAATTTAATAAGAGAAAAAGAAATCAAAATATTAAAAACGTCAGCTAACTTTATTATTATTATTAATAATAATAATAATAATAATAATAATAATAATGATAATAATTAAATATATATACAATTTTTTTTTTTTTACAAATATATATTTACACAAATTATAATTTTGTAATTAAATTACTATGTTTAAGGTCATTTTAATTCTAGGATTTTGTGGAGCGGTGTGATACAAAGAACTTCGATTGTTAAATCATAATGATGTCGAAGATGTTGAGTCTAAATTTATCGAATCTGTTCGAGACACCAAAAATTATTACCCACGATCTTTTGTGATCATGAATCAATACTACAACTTTGTCAAAAATTACATCGCTAATAAACTTTTCGAACTGTTGATAAGAAAAATATTTATATTTTGTTTTTTCCAAAGAAAATATAAAAATTATAAAATAATATAATTTAAAATAAGTATTTTTGAGGTGGGCCCCCCCCCAACCCCCCGCCGGGGCTTTGCCCCGGACCCCACCGGGGCTTCGCCCCTGGACCCTACCGAGGCTTCGCCCGTGGACTCCATGCACGAATCACTGAGTCATTAAACTTTTGTACGAATTTTGGGCTTGGCAGGATAAAAAATAGTATGTGCAACATAGGACCAAAGTACTACATTTCTGTCCCGGGTATTTGCCACCCTCGCCTTCGGCTCGGGTGGCAATCCCATACCCGGGACAGAAAGTAGTACTTTGGTCACATGTTACACAATATACTATTTTTTATCACATTTTGTGTGATATTAATTATGTCAGCTAACAATTGACATAATTAACTAAATATTAGATCGATTTTTAATTTATGTCACTTAATTGTTAACTGAAAAATATTTTATATTTTTTTTTATAATTATAATTAATTTTGTTATTTTACTTTTTTATACTAAAAAAAAAACAATTAAATTTATTGCTGTCGATAATTTTCAGTTTTGATCCAAAATCCATTTGGTATCTTCAGTGTAGTGCTTGTACGCTAACTCCAGAGCGTTATTTCAATTACCGAATGCAGCGAAATAATATTCAAGTTACAAGTATACTATAAATACAATTGAGCGCCATTGGATCTTAATTTGCAAGATAGGAAAGAAAAAAATTGTAATTATTTAAATAAAATTTAATTCAAAATTTATTTTCATTATCAACACTTATTTTTATCTTTATATTAAAATTAATTTTCATCATCTTCCTTAGAATCGTGTTGGAATTGGAATAAAATTACCAAGTATGTAGCAGTTGTACTGATAATCTGTAAAAATGAAGTTGATAAGAAAAATTTATTATAATCACTAATAAAAATTAATAATTAGAGTTTACCGTGTGAAGTAGAGTGCAATTAATAGGGAAGAAATTGTAAGCTGTAAATTGATTGTTTCTTGTAAGTAACGTTATTGAAAATCTTTTAATCTGAAATTGATCAATAAGATAGTTATTCAGATAAATTATCAAGAATTTAAAGTCCCGTGAAAAAATTTTTTATACAACCGCAAATGGTCTCATCGGAATATTTAATATACAGAGTCACGTGGGGTAACTGTGCTTAGCGGGTAAGTGTGCGCAACCCCTTTATTTATGAATGTAGAGGGGGAAGTTTGTGAAATGTGTAGGCAAATTAAAGGTTTGTTGGTGGAAAATTAGCTTATGCAAGAAAAACCCACGTGGTATCATTAGTTTACTGAAAAAATAAAATATTAACAATCTGGTGGCGTAAAGGTTTAATTTTCTGTCAGGGGCAAAGATTGTCAGACTGTACTAAGGATAGTAACTAAAGTAAATTCATTTTTTTTCAGTCAATAATGTATCTGAGCTTTTTATTTAGCATAACATTCCAAGTTATGTTATGTCTCAATAAAGTTATGTAAGTATTATTAAAATCAGTCTGCTTAGGGCATTAAAAATCCACTTAGTTCCCTTAGTTGCTTAAATTAACCCCACACGAGTGCAAACACTTACCCTCCGTACGGGGAAAGTGTAAGCATTTAGAATCATTCGGATTAATCCGTTTTTTTTTCCGAAGTGTTAAAGTTTTAGACTTTATTTATTAATTTAATTATTACCTCCATAAATACTCTATCAGAGACATATTTTTATTTTCCTTTCAAGCTTATCGTTTAATTTAGACACTAGTTTTAATGCTTAAGTGCACACACTTGCCCCACATCACTCTATTATTGTATCCATCAACCATAAAACTGTGTGCTGTTTTATTATAAAATTCCAGAGTTTTTCAAAAGTATTATATTGTTAATTATTAAAACTGCAATATAATTTTGCCAAAAAATATTTTAGCGCTAATCAATAATTACAATGTTTCGACGATAGTGATTTGCAAAATTACTATAACATTTTACGATAAAATTTCACTGTCTTTCACAAAACAGTGGATCAGTTAATTATCTAAATGAATACTCTATCAGAAAAATATTTTTACTTTCCTTTCATGCTTGTTTAATTTTGACACTAGTTTTAATACTTTTGCCCCACATGATTCTAGTCGGCAAAATTTATAATCATCCTACCTGAGCCAGTAATTCATTGCAGTCAACAGAACGATTCATCAGTTTATAAACCATAGTATCAACCAATTCCATCTAAAAAACCAACTACTAAATTATAATTACCTAAAAAAAATTTAATTATATTTAATATATCAATTGGAACCTCATTGGTAAGAGCAGTAATGTTGATAGTCAAAATTACAATCGGAAACAATTCCATGCACAAATACTGTATTGAATTGCATGTCAGTAAAAATGTATACTCTTCAGTGTAATAAACAAACGGCTGTAGCAAATAATACGATGTGTAAACAATAGACCCACAGAAGTACGTCGTAATTAGAAATATTGGAAATGAGTAAAACTCTGATATTTCCTGGACTATTTCATAAAGCAAGCTATACAGATTCGTCAACTGCAGAAACTCGTTTATCATTTTGACTTCATTAAACGGCGCGATATTATTAGCAAAAGTTTCAAATGACGAATTTAGATAACTAAATCGTTTTTTTAACAAATTAGCGATTAATCCATATTGGATGATGAACCAGCTGCCGATAAAGCAGGAAATGTTCATGGTTATCCAGATAAGATTAGTGAAGATTGCAAATACTAATTCATCTGTTATCATAATACTGATCCATAGCAACGCATTGACACCAAAATATACCAAAATTACACTTTTTACGGAAGTTTTTATTCCAATACCCGAAATTTTGGATATTTTTTCAATTTCGATCAAGATTTGATGAATTTTTATCACCATTTTTTGCTCTAAGCTTGTAAAAATCCATATGCTTATTAAAACTATGCCACCAATTATAGACTTGGATGTTAAAAGCGTTAAGACAAATTCGCTCCGATTTGGAAAATCAATATTGGAAATTACTTTCTTGGAATAACAAGTTAGGTAAAGGCAGATTAATATCAACAAGATGTTGTAAATATTTCCCGTTTTAGAGTAAGAAACTTGGATTTTTGATGATAGTTTAGGGTTTGTAATTGAAAAGGGAGCTAAGCCGATTAATTTTGAAAAATAATACAGAATTTTGAAACACTGATTTTCTGACATTGTTAAAATGATAATATTGGTTACTTTGTCGGCCACTTTTACAGAACTGTAAATAAAATGAATAAAATAGTGTGAGTACGCACGTGTTCATTAAGTATTCAGTCATAACAAGGCAAAGATGTAGGGGCTGATTATCGTTAATTCGTTGTTTAGATGACGGATAGCGGATTGATTCTATCTTACAAAGTTAAAATTTGAAAAAAATTAGTAGCTTTTAAATTATATGCTAATATTGCTTGTATTGGATGATACTAAAAGTAGGTTAATAGGATAATTGTAGGGGAAGTTTACTTGTCTAGAAAGTGTTTGTTTGATTTTTTAGTGTAATAGAAAAAAAATGGTATCATTAGAAGGATAGGTTGTGATGTCTTGATCTACCCGAGAAAAAATATTTATATATAATTATATATATTTATATATAAATTGGTTATATATGATTATATATGAAAAATGGTCAAATATAATCATATCTAATTATATATAATTATGATATATAACTATATATAATTATATATAACAATATTTAATTATAGATTTATTACATCTAATTAATTATTGGGTTAATTTTATGGCTATAACACCAGTGGTCACCCATCCAACTATTAACCCTGCTCAATGCTGCTTAACTTTGGTGATCTCCGTGCGTCTTGAAGTTTCTGTCTGCTGTGCTGCTGTCTTAGACAATAATGATTCTATGATCTACTTAATGTATCATATGAGTTTATCATAAATATAATATAAAAATTGATTTTATAATATATTTGGATAGTCATAATTCATAATTTATTTATCTTACCGAATTTCATTATAATATAACACTTATTTAAATAATAAAATAAATAATGATTTTACTATTACGTAGTAGCAGAGCAGACAAAACATCTCATAGGAAATGTGCCAAATTTTGTATTTCAGAATTATTTAAACGTAATTATAAACATCATTTTACACTTTTTGTGATTACCAAAAATAATTTTTTTTTCAAAGAAAAAATTTTTATGTATGTTAATTATATATAAGCATATATAATTATATATAATTATATACGGGACTATGTACAATCTTGCATAACTGTATATTGCTCCATATATAGTCATATATAATTATATATGACTTCATATACAATTCCATATATAATCATGTATGATTATATATAACTATATATAATTATATATAATCTTGCTTGGTTGTATATTGCTCTATATATAGTCATATATAATTATATATGATTATATATAACCTCATATACAATTCCATATATAATCATGAATGATTATATATAATTTTATATACTTATATATATTTGTATATGGAACTATATATAATCCTGCATGGTTGTATATCACTCCATATATAGTCATATATAATTATATATGATTATATATAACCTCATACACAATTCCATATATAATCATGTATGATTATATATAATTATATATGATTATATATAATTCTATATAATTATATATGTGATTCCATATATAATCATATATGATTATATACAATTATATATGATTAGATAGAAACATTTTTTCTCGGGTATTATTTTGAAGTAATTGTCTTGTTTGAGATATGGTTTTAGTCTATTTATTTTAATTAAATAGTTATTTGTTTATAATTAAAAAATCTTTCTTTAATACTTTAAAATCGTATATTACAGTAAAATCACATTTTTTAACTATAAAATGTGATATTTTAATTTTGGTAAAGAAATCATGCTTTGTAATATAGTAAATAATATCTGAGATATTTTTAGGGTCATCAAAGCAATGAGGATCACTTTATTTATATAATTTCTATTAGGGTAATTTATAATAAACTATAATAATTAGCTAAGAGTTGGATTTTTAGTTTGGATTTTTAGTGCGTAGTCGCGCACCTTAATATTAGTATATAGAATATATTTTTATACTTATGATATATTTGACAAATTACGAATAAATTGTCTTCACATTTCATTATTAAGATTTAAAAATTTTTTCACGGATATTTAAAATTAAAATAATTTTTTTTAAATGTACAATACCTCTAGCAGCACCTCTTTGTTGTCCAGACATCTATCCATAAGATTGTAAATGACTGTATTAATTCCCTGTATCTAGACAAACAAAATCAATAATCTATTATTAGTTTTATCAGCAATTATTAGAGTTAATGATTTCAAACCTCATTAGTAAGTGCAGAAATGTTGACACACAGAACAACTATTGGAAACATCTCCATAAGAATGTACAGTGTCGAGCCAAGTGTAAAAACATACTTATAATTTTTTATGTCATGGATAAACGGACTGAACAAGTAGTAGGTCGTATAGACAATCGTTCCACAAAAATACGTGATGATAATAAACGTAAGAAAGGAAAAGTAGCTTGAAACTTCAAGAGTCATTTCATAAAGCTGATTGTATAAGTGCTTAAAGCGGCGAAAGTCTTCTAAATTTCCAGCAAAATTGCGGAATAAATTGTTGACCTCTTTAAATCTATATTTCTGCAAATTTGCCATCAAGCCGTATTGAATTATGAACCAGCTTTCAATAAAGCGTGGCAAGCTCGTGATCAGCCAGGTTGAATTGAAAAGACTGTTAAAGGCTAACATGTCAATGATCATGATGCTGATCCACAAAAATAAGTTTATGCTGCAGTATATTGTTAAAAGTTTCTTTGTTGAATTGTAAGTTACTTGTTTCAGTTCTTCTGATGTTAATTTGTCGACTTCGATAAGTTTGTAGAAGATTCTCACTGCGCTCTCTTGCTTCAAGCATATGGCCGTCCAAAAAGATATCAAGCTGATGAGGCCTAGGAGAGCTTTAACAAGTAAAAATTCTTGACTAAGGTCTGACCTTATAGGAAATTCGGAGTTTAGATACTTTTTATAGGTAAGAAAGCTTAAATACAACCCAAAAATTATTAACAGGCAATTGTATAGATTGCCATTTTTAGAATAGTGAACTCTGATGCTTGATTGATATTCCTTAACTGCAAATGGAGCTAAGCCGATTAGTTTAAAGAAGAAGTAGACTATTTTTAAAAACATTTTTTATGGCTGATAGAATATCTGTAAAAATGTAAGTAATATAATTTGTTAATTTCTTTAAGAATAAAATAAACTGTATAATTGATTTTTAAAAGAAAAAAAAATAATTTCTTACAGAGTATTTTATAATTGTTTTTTGAATTATTGGCGCCGAATTTTCTTGTCATATGCGCGCGCAGTCTAAAAAAATCTAGTGATATGATTGGTTGATCTCATTTTAACTTGATTAAGTGGCGCCATAGTTTTCACGTGAGAGAAACAAGAAAAGTTATTTTGTTTTTGTACGTGTGTATCATTGTGAATTTAAATAAAAATTCATTTAAAAAAAAAACTACGTAAACTAGGCTACTGATATTAAATACGGCAGCAGATAATCGAATTCTGGAACTAATAAAAAAAGCCCGGTCTCGATACATCTATTTTGTTCGGGAGTTATCGTGTTTACATACAAAATCAGCGTACAGACATCCGGACGTCCGCGTAAAATTTTTTTCCAAACGTTTTTATTTAAAAGTACCAACATTTAATTATTTTTATAAACTATAAGATGGATTAATTAAAGTGTTTTCTCGAGGTACGTCTACTCATATCATTGTATAAGTGCAATATGCTTGTGATAGAGGCATTTTAAGATCACAAAATTGCTTGACCTTGACGTGTCGGGAGTAAATCGCTACCTCAACCGCTTCGCGTTATGAGGCGTGCAAAAATTTTTTTTCACTCAAGTAAAATCTATAAAAATATGGATGAAATCACTTAAATGTTAGAAAAGTACACAATGTTTACCTGTATAATTTAAATTCCGTCTCTCATTTCAAAAAAAATTATCGTGTTTTCACTAACCTGCTTCATTGTAATTAACCTTTCAACAATAGCCCCGACTTTTATTTTCTTAATTAAATATTTAGATGAAACAGATATACGTTCCTCTTCAATGTGACTTATCGTTAAATCGCCAATATGATGACAAAAAAGTATTACTTCAAGCACGCGACCTATAACCATCGATTTTAACAGATTTTTAACGGACTTAGAATGCAGTTATGACTACTGAACAACAAAAAAGCTAAAAATGGATGCGATAAAGCTTATTTACTTAAATATATTCGTAAAATACTTCAGTACAATTTAGATATTTCTAAACAGCACAATTGCACTGAGAGAAAAGTACATACTTAGCTAATTATAACGTCACAAGTATAAAAATACAGTTTTCGGAACTTTTTTTTTTCTATTTACTCTATGCATTAATTTAAATATTTATAAATAATTATATCGACTATATTTTAATAAATATTTTTCGATCGCGTTAAACAAAAAATTATTAGACTGGGTTGTTACGGACGATATCTCAGATAGCTTAACTGGAAGCGCCCTTGGCGTGCAACCAAAAGAAACCGGATTCGATTCCCGGCCGAGGCTGTCCGAATTATTTTTTCTGTTTTCTGTGTTAAAATTAATCAAAATTATTAAGCCCATATTTAATTGAAAATTGTTTAAGTAACTTATTGAGGTTTAATATATAATATAATATAATAAATTATTTTAGGTATAAGAACTTCAATTAAATAGTGATTTTTTTTTTTGTTCGAAAAAGTTCTTTATTTATAATACTAGAAATTTAAATAGCGCGCTACGCGCGCGCCTTAATTTTCACCAATAAGGAATGAGGTCCCATTTTTTTGCAAAAAAAAAAAAACCAATAAAACATTAATTAAATAGTGGTGATGGTATTTATCCCGACTTTTCTCTCAGTGGAAAATGTTTGAATCAATCTACTTAATATTTTTCGGAATCGTTGGCTTAACGTCCATCAAAATCAAGCAACCCCGATCATCAAATACACCAAAACTCATCAAATACTCACAATCTCGTATTGGTTACTTCTACCTAATTTTTCTGATAATTCTAACCTTTGGCTTGAGTGTCCTCTTCTTTATGCATTTAACATCCGAAAATATCGCAGCTGAAAATCCGCTAACACTAAAACTTAGAATATCAATGCGCGTCGCTCGAACACTGACGATTTTTGTGATCTGGTTAAATTGTTTCTTCAAGCAATCGCAGATAGTGGACACAGCGAACAGCTACCTTCGGATGAACACCGAAGCGGTCAAAATCTACGACGACATTAGTAAATCTAAATTCAAGACCAAGCATGTAATTTTTTACATCCTAATTGTGGCTCACCTGATATTGTTAGTGTCAAGCATCGCTACTTCGTACCTCTGCAACGGAATTTTTGACATCAGAATTCTGACTAATGTCTTCGATTTTGTAATCTCGGTGCATATTTTCCAGTACGCGACTATATTAGCGGTGATAAAAACCAAATTTGAAAGCATGCGTTTGAAATTGGCCGAACTGGCGGAAATTTATAACGCGCTGCAAGCGTATGTAATCGTTGAAAAAGATAAATATTTGAAGATACTTCTGCAAGTTAAGACTATCCAGCGCAACCATGCTGAGCTTGCAGATATATGCGACAGTATATCGGAAATTTTTGGAATTTCAGTACTTTTTTCATTGGCGTATGTTTTTGGAACGACTGTACATTACTCTTACTTTGTAATTTCGCAGAATTTCGTTCATCCGAATAGAAAATCTATGGTGTATACCATAGATACTGTTATACCTCTTGCCAGGTTCATCGTTTCAATCACGGCTTTTTGTGTTTTAGCAAACGATGTAGGAACGCAGGTAAGAATACGCTTTTTCACTCATCCGTGCGGAAAGTATCATTTTTCGTCATACTGCGCTAAACGAAGTTGCCGCTTTTTGCCTCCGTTGAGCAGAAAAATAGTACATTACACGGAGAAAATTTTATAGTAGAGTTTATTATCTAGTTATGTTAAAATCTATTAACTGAATTCAATAGTAATAAATATTATTTAAATAATTAAGTAAACCATCTGAATTGTAGTATTTACCATCCTGATGGTAACTACTACTATTATCATGGTAATCACTAATAATAACTGTTATTATTTTAATTAGTTACTACTATTATCAAAATCGTAATTCCTAATATAATCTCATGGTTACAGTTACCATCAGTAATAATAATAACTACTATCTAAGCTAGTAAAAAATATTTAAAAAATTAAGAATCTGCGTTACTGTGGATGCATTTCTGAATAAACTAAAAGCAGCTGTAGTGCTGTGTAGTGCACAAATAATCGGGATTAAATTCGGATAGAATTTATATTTAAATTTTTATTTGTCTAAAACAAGTTTCAACGGGAAATTTTTCAAAAAAATTTGAAATTTCCAAAAAAATCAAAATTTTAAATAAAATTTAAATTAAAAAAAGAAATTTTTATTTAAAAAAAAAATTTTTAATCTTCAATAAAATGAAATTTTCAAAAAAAAATTTTGAAGGGAATTTAAAATATTTTAATATTTCAAAGAAAAAAATGTAGATTAGCTAAAATATGGATGTAAATAAAGGATTTAATCAAGTAAACTTATATTATTTTTTCTTTCAGAATTTTTACGATCTGAGATGATTACAGTTACCATCTTCGATTGTAACAGTTATAATTTATAATAATTACAATTATTATTTTAGATAGTAATCGTTACCATTAATAATAGTAACTATTACAATTGTCAATGATATCACCTATTATTTCGTTACTAATTAATTTTATTACCATTTTAGATAGTAGGAGTTACTATTTTTACACGCTTTTAATTAGCTTCACTTGTATGTTAGTATGTCAGTATGTCATTCAGTATGTAACTCCGTGGTATGGGTAATTTGCGCGCCTTCGGCTTTCCTTGGTTCTGGTAGCCGTTTCTCAGGCTCCCTTTCCGAAATCGAACTCTGATTCCTCGTATTTATAATATTTATAAATAATTATTCTATTGATAATCAACAAATAATAGTTTAAAAAAACTAAAAAATCACGCTTTTATAAATAAACTCAACTAAAAAGTAAAAAATAAATAATAGTTTAAAAAAACTAGAAACACGCTTTTTATAGAAAACTAAACTAAAAAATAGAAAATAAATTTTAATAAATTTAAATTAAGAATAGTGTTAAAAATTTCAATAAATATAAATTAATAATAGTGTAAATAAAAAAAATGTATTTTATTTTAAAAAAAGCGTGGGGAAAATAAAAATACATTTTTTTTATTTACACTATTATTAATTTATATTTATTGAAATTTTTAACATTATTTTTAATTAAAATTTATTTTCTATTTTTTAGTTTGGTTTTCTATAAAAAGCGTGTTTTGTGTTTTTAGTTTTTTTAAACTATTATTTATTATATAGTAGGTAGCATAATTAATTTTTCTCCGTGTAGGTATCTAATGTACTATTAAATAGATTATTTAATCGTGAGTGCTTTTTTTATTGAAGATGAAGAAAATCATTGATGTTATCTACAAACTTCTGAATGTCCGTACCTTACACCGGGAAATTGTCATAGAGGTATTGGAACAACAGTAAATTATTTTTGTATTGAACCTTTAAAGTCCTTATACAAATTTGTAATTTCAGTTAGAATTATTTGCTTACGGAGTATCAAGCCGGAATATTTCTTTTGAAGCTTGCAACGTTTTTTCCGTTGACTGCCAACTTCTGAGCTCTGTAAGTAGTTATTGTGAAATCTTCTTAAATTTTACCAATTTGATGAAATTAAAATTTCCAGATATTTAGTGTGACTGCAACCTACCTCATTCTTCTTATACAATCAAACTAGGAGTTAATATGCGCACCTAAATATAGAATCCATCAGGAATAAATTGACTTTACATTTATCCATTTCAATTTTATATTGCAATAATTCAAGTCAATAATAAATAACTATAATGATTCCTTTGCTGAAAGAATCATTTGAGAAGATCATCAAATAAATTGAATTATCCACCACATCATTGAATTTAGAAAACAATTTCCATAAATTCCACCTCCCCTTCGAAAAATGACGACGGCCTGCACTATCCACACCAATTTCAATCTTCCCATCATGTTCTATCTCTTAAAAGAGCAAAATTTATATTAAAATTATCCAAAGCTTCAACTGCGTTCAACCTAATATCGTCTTGAGTCATAAATTATCTCAAGATATCCATCACTGTTTGCCTTGAATCATCACCTATGACCTACACAATTTATCTTCACTCGTCCAGTGAAACTTCGACTTGTTATGAATAATTTAGCAGAATAATTCCCTGCCAGAGTGATTGCACATTTAGATACAAGAGAAATCTACCTCACAATCGGTAATTAACATTGACCGTACTCATTAACTACATCCATAATTGATTTTTCTATAATTAAATCAATACAAGGTTAAAGCTACCCAATAGAACGAATTGATCATGTGATCCTTGCTTCAATTCGTTAAAATATTCTTTAAATAAAGAATTGGACTTAAAAGTGAAGTTTTGATGTTGATATTTGTCAGCTAATTTAATTAGTATTCTAAGTGCAAAAAAGATCAGATAAAAGCTATTTAAGCCGAGATAATTGTTTGACCTTGAAAGAATGAAGCACTACTCAAAAGTTTTGCATTGAGGCGTGCAATAATGAGAGTTCAATTCATGTATCTAACATTTTTCGGAATTTTCGGGCTTGCTCCCTTCAAGATAAGAATCACTAAAAATCATCGACTCAAATTCTTCCGTTCAAAAATTGGAATCCTCTATGTGGTTTTTTTGATCTTCCTAATCTTAGGACTAAGCTCTTTATATTTTTGGACTATGCACTACACCCGAGTTCCTAATGAGAGTTCAACCACTAGAAAGATCAGAATATCTATGAAAGTTGCTGGAGCAGTGGCGATAGTTGTAATTTGGGCGAATTACTGTTTAAAGCACTCAAAAATGATCAAAACTGTTAACACCTTCATGTTGATGAACGCCAAAACAGTTTACACCGATGAACTCAACAAATCTTGGAAGAAATATTCCGCATTTTACATTTTGGTCTTCTTGCACTTAATTCTAAGCGCTGGAAATTTGTACACGAGTTATGTATCATATCAAGAAAGGTTTGACATAAGAATGTTGACCAATGTCTTCGACTTTGTTATCTGCTTGCATATCTTGCAATACGCCATAATTTTGGGAATCATTAAGATAAAGTTAAAGGAATTACGCTTGAAGCTTTCACAGCTATCAAATGATTACGGAATTGAAAGATATGTCACTTTTGTGACTATCAAAAAAGATACCACTACTCTGTTAAAGTTTTCGACAATTCGTCAAGGTCATGCTGTTCTTTTGGATGTTTGTGATGATGTTTCAAAATTATACGGAAGTTCTATTCTTTTTTCGTTGACCTACGCCTTTGGAGTTACTGTTTACTATTCATACTATGCTTTGTCGCACAGTATGATTTCAGCTGAGAAATCTTGGATTGATACCATCGATGCTGTTTTACCACTTATCAGCGTTGTTGTTGCCGTAACTGCTATTTGCATTCTAGCGAATAACGTTACTGATCAGGTTAGTTACTTTTTCAATTGCACACCTCAAAAATTAACAATTTTTCTTGTGCAGATGCTCAAATTTCCAGATGTTATTTACAAGCTATTAGATGTCCGTTTTTTCCAGCGGGAAATCAAAACAGAGGTATTATGTTACATGAAAACAATTAAAAACTTTTATACTAAAGAAAAAATGGAAAACAATTTTTTTTTTTTTTTCAGTTAGAAATATTTTCATATCAAGTGTCACATCAAAAAATTACGTTTCAAGCTTGTAGTTTGTTTTCAATTGACTGTGGATTATTGCGATCAGTAAGTAATAATAATTATTATTATAATTTTACATTAGTAACCGATAAAATTGAATTTTTAATGAAAAAGTGAAGCTTTTTCTGCTATAATATTTTTTTTCAAGGTTATTGTTGCTATGGTTACCGTTGCTATGGTAACATTTTGTATAGCAACCATTGCTATGGTAACCATGGTAACCAATTTCGTAATAATTGTTGCTTTAGTTACCATGACTATGATATCCATTACTATGATAATTGTTTTGATGGTAACCGTTGCTACGGTAACAACTTGCATGGCAACCGTTGCTATAGTATCAATTTCCGTGGCAACCGTTGCTACGGTAATAATTTCCATGGCAACTGTTGCTATAATAACTACTTCCAAGATAATTGTTGCTGTGGTTACTAATTTAGTATGAATTGTTGCTATGGCAACTATTTCCATGGCAACCGTTGCTATGACAACACTTTCCATAGCAACCGTTGCTATGACAACATTTTCCATAGCAACCGTTGCTATGAAACCACTTTTTTATGGTAACCATTGCTGAAAAACATTAAAAATGAATAGTTCCAACAAATAAATAACTTTTTACAGATATTTAGCGTGACTGCAACATACCTCATCCTTCTTCTTCAAATGCAAAGTACTAAATAATAATAATAAGAAACAACTCAAAAAAACAATTCAACGTTATGAAGCGTGCAAAAATCAATCATTCAACAAAAATTATTTTTCCAATCCATTGAATATACTACAAATCTTGAATAAAAATCTGACATACGTCAGAGATCTAAAAGCCGATCATTTTTCTTCAACTTGATGCTTTCTGTCACAGCAGCTCTTCTCCCTTGAATGATTATTGATATTATTTCCCCTATCCCATTTTTAATGTATGAATATTTTGATGATTAGTTGACTTTATTTGAATATTCAATACATCAGTTAAATATAATACATAAATTGAACATCACAAATATAATACTTAGTGTAATTTTTAAAATACATTTCCTGATAATCATAGTACATATTATTTAACATACTTTCAATGTATGATTAACTTATTGTCTAGATTTAATAAATACACATATGTATTATGATGAATTTTTAATAATGTGTTTTATTATTTATTTTTAATTTTTAATATGTTGATTCAATAATTCATTTTTTTTTATTCGATAAAGTATATAATAATAAAGTAAAGAAGAGAATATCACTCGAATCTTCTTTTCTTGTTACTCCTTTACTAAAAACAGGCATATAATAAATCGGACCCATACACCAGCTCGTTAACTTTAATTATAATGGAAATATAGTTTTGTTTTTGTTTCGTTTTAATGTTGTTAGTCTCATCACAATATCGATATATATTTAGTTAAATACAAATATTATTTTTAATATTACAAATAATATATATATTTGCGCATTCACACAAAATTATTTAGAAAATTTTATTTTTATTATTTATTATATCAATTATCAATTCAATACTATATTTAATAACACACGTAGTTTGATTTTTGTATACGTGAAAGAATGACGAGATAATAAAAGTCAGAAATAATTCCATTGAGATATATTGTTTTTCAAATAAAATAGACAAACTCTATACTCCAATCGATATAAGATTTGGGGAGTTGAGCTCATTATCGTGGCTTATTGTCTGTTCACAATAGCAGCCCGTGAGTTAAGTACATATAATAACCATCAATGCACATGCCTCATCATGTTTTAATATTTCCTTAATTATTTCAGATAGTTTTCCAGGTTTTTTATATGTATATTAGAATAAACTTTAAGTGTTGACTAATTAATTCATTTCATTTTCATGCATCGATCCTTAAGTATCGTCAAACAATTGATCCTTTTTTTAAGAAGGAATACGACCATGCATAAATAATCATATGTTATATGATTGTATATGACGTTTTTTCATATTGGCGGGAAAATTTTTTTATGCGTGTTATGTAACATATCTTTTTTTTTGAGTAATATTAGCATTACTTTTCAACATATGCTTCATTTTTTAAGATATGTAAACTCAATATGTGAACACATGCATTATATTTGAAGACATGGCTTATGTTAAGATATGCGCTTTATATATCAATACATATTTCTGCAGTGAACATATTTGCTACATATGTAGCATAAATGAACACATATGCTTCATATGTAATAATACATTCTCTAAAAGTGAACATATCTGCTACATATGTTCACATATATGCTATATATGTTCACATATGTGGGCATATCTGCTACATATGTTCACATATATGCTACATATGTTCACATATATGCTATATATGTTCACATATGTGAACATAAGCTACATATCTGCTACATATGTGATTATATATGCTACATATGTTCATATATTTGCTACAAATGTGAGCATACGCTACATATGTGGACATATTTGCTACATATGGTACAAATGTGAACATATTTGCTACATATGGTACAAATGTGAACATATATGCTACATATGTTCACATTTAGAACATATCTGCTAAATATGTTCACATATATGCTACATATGTAAAAATATCTGCTGCATACGCTACAAATCTGAACATATATGCTACATATGTGAATATATCTGCTTAATATGTTCACATATGTGAATATATCTGCTTAATATGTTAGCATATGCTACATATATGAACATATATATGAACATATATGCTACATATGTGAACATATCTGCTACATATGCTACATATGTGAACATATCTGCTACATATGCTACAAATGTGAACATATATGCTATATATGTCGATATATATGCTACATATGGGAACATATATGCTACATATTTGAACATTATGCTACATATTTGAACATATCTGCTACATATTATTTCATATAAGAACATATATGCTTCATATAAGTAAACATGTCTTATATGTAAAAATATATGCTTCATACCTATACAAATGCATTATATTTGAACACACATATGTTTCATATGTGATCATATCTGCTCACTAAAAAGTATATTATCCATATGTGGATATATGGACTCCATATATAACACATTTACTTCATATCTTTCCCTTGTCCTATATGTTGTCTTAAATTTTCAAAATTTCCTAGTATCTCTTACTATTTTTTCAATAATTTCGATGTACACTGATACGCTCTAAAACCGTTTGAGCCCACAAAGCTTATACCTGAGTTAAATTTCATAATAAATTAAATAAGTACATATTTTATGTCAACAAAAATAAAACCCACCTATTACTCTTCAACATACGCTAAACATATTATAACTGTATACTTTTCCGTAACATTACTTATCATTTAATTTTATTAGTCTTGATTGCTTCGGCAATTCAATTTTTGTCCGGCCGTTTATATCGCCAGTATAATATAGTCATTAGATATGAAAGCTTGATGTTAATCACATAAATTGTCGATATAATTTATATGATACAAACAATATTTTACGATATGGTTAAAAATTTTAATAATTTTTCAATACTATTTGCATTAATTTATTTATTTTAAATAAAATCTTATCAATGCAGTATTTGTAGGTGTTTGTCAAAATGTCACTTATTTTATTTATTTTCCAACACTTTTTAAAATTGACTCGCGTTGCGTATAAGGAGTAGCCGTAAGCGGCTTTTAAGTAAATTTGCCGCGAAAATCTGTCATATTTTTTTATTTATAATTATTATAATTTTTTCGGTAATGGAACCCTTGTAATATAATTTTTATCTCTAGCACGACACAAAGATCAACGATAAAAACTTTTTTAATAATTAAACTTCCTAAGTTAGTTAATTAATAATCATTATTATTATTATTATTATTATTATTATATAAGTACACAGAACATCAAGTACTCTTTAGCTCACTAAGATAATTATCTAAATCCATTACGATTATTTAAATAGACAAATAAATTAAGGAAAAGTGGATCCAACTATTCAAATTTAATGTGCAATATTTATTTATTAAATTTAAAGATCAAAATTAATTTTTTTTTTTTTAGGACCTGAACATTAAAAAGTCTAATAAATACACGTCAGTAATTATTAAAATTTTTTTTTAGAATATTTATAGTTACGGGTACATATTTTCTTGACAAATCGCGGACTATAATGCCATTTAATTCAATACCATGAGCTTGCTATATTTTTAAGAAGTAATTATTAAAGATTTATAGAAGAATTTAAAGAAGAAAAAATAAGTGAAGAAATTTATTATAGTCACTAATAAAAATTAATAATTATTAATTATTGATTATTAATAATTATTACTATTGATTATTAATAATTAAAAATTATTAGTAGTTAATAATTATTAATAGTTAATAATTATTAATAATTAATGATTATTAATAATCAATAGTAATAATTATTAATAATCAATAATTAATAATTAATAATTAATTACTGAATTAATTATTAATAATTATTAATTATTAATTATTGATAATTAATAATTATTAACTCTAATTATAATTAGAATTTACTGTGTGAAGTAGAGTGCAATTATTAGGGAAGAAATTGTAAGCTGTAAATTGATTGTATCTTGTAAGTAACGTCATTGAAAATCTTTTGATCTGAAATTGATGAATAAGATAGTTATTCAGATAAATTATCAAGAATTTAAAGTTCCGTGAAAAAATCATTTTATACGACTGCAAATGGTCTCATCGGAATATTTAATATACAGAGTCACGTGGGGTAACTGTGCTTAGCGGGTAAGTGTGCGCAACCCCTTTATTTATGAATGTAGAGGGGGAAGTTTGTGAAATGTGTAGGTAAATTAAAGGTTTGAAGGTGGAAAATTAGCTTATGCAAGAAAAACCCACGTGGTATCATTAGTTTACTGAAAAAATAAAATATTAACAATCTGGTGGCGTAAAGGTTTAATTTTCTGTCAGGGGCAAAGATTGTCAGACTGTACTAAGGATAGTAACTAAAGTAAATTCATTTTTTTTCAGTCAATAATGTATCTGAGCTTTTTATTTAGCATAACATTCCAAGTTATGTTATGTCTCAATAAAGTTATGTAAGTATTATTAAAATCAGTCTGCTTAGGGCATTAAAAATCCACTTAGTTTCCTTAGTTGCTTAAATTAACCCCACACGAGTGCAAACACTTACCCTCAGTACGGGGAAAGTGTAAGCATTTATGATCATTCGGATTAATCCGTTTTTTTTCCGAAGTGTTAAAGTTTTAGACTTTATTTATTAATTTAATTATTACCTACATAAATACTCTATCAGAGACATATTTTTATTTTCCTTTCATGCTTATCGTTTAATTTAGACACTAGTTTTAATGCTTAAGTGCGCACACCTGCCCCACATCACTCTATTATTGTATCCAACAACCATAAAACTGTGTGCTGTTTTATTATAAAATTCCAGAGATTTTCAAAAGTATTATATTGTTAATTATTAAAACTGCAATATAATTTTGCCAAAAAATATTTTAGCGCTAATCAATAATTACAATATTTCGACGATAGTAATTTGCAAAATTACTATACCATTTTTGGATAAAATTTCACTGTCTCAGCAAACTTTCCGGCTCTTTTAATCTAACTCACGATTTTTATAAACAATCCATTATAAATTTCTTTAACTACATCTATTGATTAAATACTTGAAGATTAAAATTATTTTCTAATAGCGATAGCATTTTACAATATTAATTTAATAAGTGAAGCTTTTAACATTAAAAGTACACATGAGTATATGAAACTTTGTATTGCTTCTACGAATTTTCTATTTTCGGTTCCACCTTCGAAAAACTTTAAACACTATTCGATAAGACAACTACAAATTTACTATTATTACTAACTTACAATTATTATTATTAATATATTTATTATCGCTGGAGAGATTTTCACGTCAAATTTATCATTAGAGCATTTATTAATGAACTATCATTAAACTTTTGGCACTTTGACAAACACCTGGCAATAAATACTCCATTTACACTTGAACCTTCTGACAATATCCTCAATTCTCATCATCAAAAAGAAAGTAGCTTAATTTCCTTCGAGGCCCCTAACCTCCATTTCAAAATTTGTTAATGCGCAAATGGATAATTTAAATCGAAAAATTGAGAAACTTTTCAATATAACCTAGCCGCTTAAGCTCAGTTTCTCTGCAGCCATTCAGAGAATCTTAACTAGGCAGTTTCCCTAATAATAATTTAATTTAAGAATATAATTTTTATTTAAAAAAGAGAAAATTCAACTACTTTTGATAATAATGAGGTTTAATGATAAGTTAGTGTTCTTTAAGTTCCATTTTAAGGCTCAAGTGTCTTCTCACGCCATCTATAATGCAAATGTTGACTTAAAAAATTGGGTAAGACTTATAATTGTTTTTTAATTTTTAAAATTAAACTTTAAAAATAAAGTCTCATCTTCTTTCACGTTAATGATTTTTTGTTTTTTTGTAAATATATATAATATATTATACTTTTAAAAGTAAATTTGTATATTACAGACGGTACACGTAGCTCACAAAATGCATTGTGCATATTTTGTAAAGATAAATCATCTGGTTGTTTCTATTTTCAAAAATCTACTGAAGAAAATTGTGAGATACAGCGGATATAATTTTTTATTTTATTAATTGCAATTAAACGACACTGAGTTACATAGCCATCCGCGGTAGGGGGCCTGCGATTCCTTCAAAGAATTAAAAAAAAAAAACATTTCACTGAATTAATGGATTTTTTGGCAAGCTACAGTGTTTACAAGGTTCATACCTGTTTGACGGACGGGAAAATTTTTTAAACTATTTTGATGTTTTTTTCCGTTTCTATTGCACTAAATAAATTTTTTAAAAGTATGCAATTAATCTCCATTAAATAATCGAGACAATAGTATGCTAAATATCTTGATTCCGTTAACTAACAAGGGTATAATAATAAAAATAGTTGCCGAAATATGGGGCGAAAAAAATTTGTTCGATCGTAAACCACTCTCTGATGCTTCTTATCATCAGTCGTCCAAAATACCAACAACATTTTTTTTTTTTTAAATATCAGGTTAGAATTTTTCTAAACTCTCAGTTACCAATGGAGTTAATCATGTGGTAAATCCGAAAGAAGCCGTGGAAACCCGAGATAAAATTTATTAGAAGGACTCGCACGTAGTTCGTGGAAACACTCAAATTTTAACTAAATTTCAACATTGTTTTAGATAATTGAACTTCTAATTTTCGTTTGAAACTTTTTGTCTTAAATATTTATCCGTAAAAAACTAGATCCGCTGATTCTATTTTACTGTAAATGATAAAAAAATTCTTTTTTTCAATTATATAACAATATTTGGTGCCTAGATTCAATTTAGCGTAAATGATGATTCCTATAATAGATAAAACAAAATTGATATCAGTTTACCAAAATTTCTATTATTCTTCTTCTTCGTTTTCATAAGACACATATCGAACTGATGATTTTTCACCAATGATCAGAGACTGTAAACATAATATTACGCATATTTAAATTTTGCCGCTTTCAAATAATTCTTTATTAGAATAAAATAATTAAATTACCTTTTTTTCTTCTTTGGTTGGCGGAGATTTCAAAAAATACATCAGCGGAGCGTACATAAAGCACAACATTGCGGTTCCAAAGAGCATCCATTCAAAACCAATAGTGTTAACTAACGTTCCACTCAAAGCAGGACCTGCAATTCCACCAAAAAACATTAAAAATAACTCTATTAGGTTTAATTAAGCTTGCGAGGGTTAATCCAAAAGTGTTTCTTTTTTCTAATGCGTACCAACAACATAACCCAAGCAAAATGCAACATCTCCAATGGCATAGACGCTGCCGTAAACAGCCGTGTGTCTTATATCAACAAGATATCCTAACTCTGGCATCATAGAGCTGTCAACCATACCAATTGCAAATCCTAGCCCGGCATTTGGCATAATCAAGTGGTTGATGTTCGTCGCCAGAGGTATCTGGACCATCAAACGCATGTGATTAGCTTTTCTCTCAGTGCATAATTAATAATCACTGATCAAGTCTGGGAAGAAGAATACTTACACACATCAGACAAAAACCTATAACAATTAACCCAACCAAAGACGCAAGCCATCTTCCCATTCGATGACCAAGCGGTCCGAACAGATTTGTGCCTATGAGGTAGCTGATACTAGCCGGAAGAAATGTAGCACCTTGTTTCCATCTACTAGCACCCATTGTGTCCATCATCCAGATTGGTAAGCTCGGTTCTAGCATTGCGATTCCCATATTTGCAAATGTGATGGCCCCTAAATTCCAAATCCAAGTTATTTCAACGGAAATATCCATAAAATGGTGGAACTTAATTGTGTGAATTAGACGGGTTGTGATTACCTGCTGCAACAATGATGTAAGGATCCGTTACCAGAGCTTTCAATGATGGAGAAGCAGTTTCCGTGTAGACAACCGTTGGTTGGAGCATCAGCAACTGGAGCACTGGAACAATTGGTATTGCAATATTGCTGCAAAGGTGGTGTATGTTCAAGTAGTTTGGTACTTACGTCCGTCACCTAGGGCCAGCACCGATAATGCGAGGAACGGCGCTGATTTGCCGACAAACTCGTACATCAATCCCCCAAACGGAGGACCAATTAGCACTCCCAGAGCTAATCCTCCAAGTGCAATACCCATTGCATTGCCCCGTTCTTTATCATCTTGGTATCTCTCGGCCAACATTCCCATGCCTGATTTAAATTTGTAGGTTTATTTAAAATAACTTAAAAATTTGGTTTATTTAAATATGGATTACTTTTAACCAAATCTATTTTATTTTCATTGAATTTGATTGAAAAAATAATAAGCTAAAGACTAAAACAATAAAAAAGTAGCTTTCCGAACGTATTACGGAGATATTTTATATTTTTTATGAAAAATCACTCGGACACTTGCGTTCTTTAAAGTCTTGTATTTGACTTGGCAACACCGCTTGCGCAGTTACCCATGCGCATAAGTAACCGCGGTTTTTTAAATGCTAGAACATCTTAGTCATTTTAATTAGACAGTAAACATAAATAAATTTTAAGATTAGGGACACTCTTTTTGTGTTGTCAAGTGTATACCGGTAATTCAGAGTGCTATATTTTTTATTAGTCAATTAAATGTCAATAATTATTTAATGAGTAAATTTATCGGAAATTTCCTCAAAAATGTTATTAATTAATTGAAAAATTAATTTTAAGATAACAAAAGTATTTCTACGTATTATTTTTTTAGACATTCTTTACACTAGGCGGGTATTTGGATCTTCTTAATTGAAGTTGTTATACCTAAATTTACTCATAAAATTGAACCCCAATGAAGTTACTCAAACTATTTTTAGTTAAAAATCGGCTTAATAGTCACCTTGATTAACTTCAACACAGAAAACAGAAAAAATAATTCGGACAGCCCGGGCCGGGAATCGAACCCGATTTCATTTGGTTGCGCATTAAGAGCTCTTCCAGTCAAGCTATCTGAGACACCGTCTGTTATAACCTTTCAGTCTAATAATTTTTTGTTTAACACGAGAGAAAAATATTTATTAAAATATCGTCGATATAACTATTTAATAATTAAATGTTAATAACTATTTAATGAGTAAATTTATCGGAAAATTCCTCAAAAATATTATTAATTAATTTAAAAATTAATTTTAAGATAACAAAATTATTTCTACGTATTATTTCTTTATATACATTCTTTGCACTAGGATCTCCTTAAATAAGCTTCTCTGTGCAATAATACGTACCAGAAACAGTTGAGCAAGAGGAACCAATACCCTGTAAAGCCCGAGCTATGAAAAGTACACTATAGCTTCTACCAAATGCGAATATCAAAGTTGAGACGAACATTATGACAAATCCAGCGAACATTGGAACACTGTATCCGATTCTGTAAGATTTTTCAAATGATTTTTTTTATTACTGAAGGAAAAAAATCAAACATTTTTATAGAAACCGAATAAATACTTGTGAGTTAGAGGTCCTACTATAGGATTGGCAAGTAACTGAACAAAAGCTTTAGAAGCGAACATTATCCCCACGGCCACTGTTTCCTCTAATAACTCTTTGTGTCTCTGAGATTTCTCTAGATCTTCTAAGGAAGTTATGTTTATCGGCACCATGACAGTAGAACCTGTATTATTATGGAACAAAAATAAGAAATACGTTGTATTAAATTATATAATTTCTATTAGAAAAACGTCAGCTTCAAGAATCAAAAATAAATAGCTAATAAATTTAAATTAGAATTTTTATTAATCAAAGAATGAGAGTAAGATATATATTAATTTGAAAAGAAAAATGACTAACCATTAACAATAGAAACCGGAGCGCCGGTAGTTGCTTGAAGAAATTCAAGTTGTCCATTATTTGAAGCATTCACTTGGGGACAGGTACATTTAGTTGGAGGGATGGGTGTGCTTATGATGCTGGCAATTGTCATTGGTCGAGTTGTATAATGAGGCCCGTCTAAGTGCTGACTTAGTGTATTATTCGGGTGTTTGATGTCGTAAAGAAATTCCGGAATTATTGGCACTGAAAAATATAAAGATATACAGTCTTTTGGGTTTTTTATTTTATTAATTGCAGTTAAACGACACTGAGTTACATAGCCATCCGCGGTAGGGGGCCTGCAATTCCTTCAAAGAATTAAAAAAAAAAACATTTCACTGAATTAATGGATTTTTTGGCAAGCTACAGTGTTTACAAGGTTCATACCCGTTTGACGGACGGGAAAATTTTTTAAACTATTTTGATGTTTTTTTCCGTTTCTATTGCACTAAATAAATTTTTTAAAAGTATGCAATTAATCTCCATTAAATAATCGAGACAATAGTATGCTAAATATCTTGATTCCGTTTACTAACAAGGGTATAATAATAAAAATAGTTGCCGAAATATGGGGCGAAAAAAATTTGTTCGATCGTAAACCACTCTCTGATGCTTCTTATCATCAGCCGTCCAAAATACCAACAACATTTTTTTTTTTAAATATCAGGTTGGAATTTTTCTAAACTCTCAGTTACCAAAGGAGTTAATCATATGGTAAATCCGAAAGAAGCCGAAGAAACCCGAGATAAAATTTATTAGAAGGACTCGCACGTAGTTCGTGGAAACACTCAAATTTTAACTAAATTTCAACACTGTTTTAGAAAATTGAACTTCTAATTTTCGTTTAGAACACAAGTTTCAAAACTAACAAGAGTATCATCTATATTATTAAAAGGGCTAAGAAAAATTTTGTGGTCAGTGTGCCTTCTCAAGGTTTCATATCACTCTCACCAATAGTCCATTTATGATGATAAGTATTTAGGTTGCGTTCGAAAATACTCTATCTCTAAGTGCATCATTAAGAAATGACCTTGTATCTTGTGAACTATTGACATATTTAAAGATATAAGCTCATCTCGATATTACACTCATAAAGACCTTTCATTTGAGTACCCACATCAATTTTTCATATATTTACATATTTATATATATGTATATATGAAAAATATATCAAAAATGCATGTGGGTACTTAAATGAAAGCCCTTGATGAATATAACATCGGGATGAGCTTAGAGCTTTAAAATATATATTCTATATATGTATATATAAAAAATATATCAAAATTTAATACTCTATTAAATTAAAAAAAAACAAACTGTATTTAAAAAAATTGCATTTTTTCATTTTCAAAAATTTTTTTTGCCATCATTTATTTGTTATAAATTTTTTTCCAAATTATTAAATAAATGTAATATAATTATCATTCATTAAGAAACGACCTTGTATCTTGAGAACTATTGACATTTTTAAAGATATAAGCTCACTCCGACATTACACTCATCGAGACCTTTCATTTGAGTACCAACATCAATTTTTTATATATTTTATATATTTATATATATATTATATATATGTATATATGAAAAATATATCAAAAATGCATGTGAGTACTCAAATGAAAGCTCTTGATGAGTATAACATCGAGATGAGCTTATATTTTTAAAAACGTCAATATTTAAGAAAGTACAGTGCAATTTAAGAAAAGTCGTTATTTAATATCGCAAAATTTTATTTATGCTCAATGCATAAATCACGGCAGTCACGTAGTGACTGCCAACTTGCTAGTAATAATATTTGCCAAAAATTTTTCGGTTGTAAAGCACTCTCTGATGCTTCGCATCATCCTGCAATAATTCAGTAATTTCTTACAAAGTATTTTTATTTTTACAACCATCAAAGTCGGCTTTTTTACATAAAAAAATTATAACTTATAATTGTTCACATTACTAGGTCAAGAATACTCTGAACCCCTTAATTTAATTCTTCAAGCTTTCTAAGCAGTCAACTCTTCTCTTAAAATCCTTTTTGTGTTCTAACAACAAAAAAAATTTATACAAAAAAGAATTTGCGTCATTTTTGTCTGATTGTTTCGATATATTATACAAAAAAATTTATATTTAACCCAATAAAGGGAAATTTTTTACTTCTAAAAAATGCTCATGGAAATCTAAATAACACCCATAAATAAATAAATAAATAAATGTCATTACTAGTATAGCGAATAGCAAATTTTATTCTATTGGGAGCTGAACAAAATTGACTATTTTATTAAGACTGTATGCTACGTAGAATTCATGTACCAATCGATATTATTTCTTCAATAAAAGTGAACAGATTCATTCGGATTAGGTAAGATTTTCCTTTAAGTCGCGACCAATTGAACCTTGCAAATTTTATTACTCGAATAAAATAAGTAAAACCTAAAAAAAAGGAATCTGAAATAATTTACAAGAGAAAAAACTCTTTTATTTATATTTTTATTGAAAAGGGTCCGACTTGTCGGGCTCGGGTAAAAGAACCCGAGTATCAATCAATAAACGGTGATTGTGTTGCCATAAATATCATGATAATCGTATATAAATATCCGGAAAAATATTGAGAAATAAAACATACGGTCAATCACTTTTGGTTCAAGCTTTTAACTCCCGGCGTTGATATTCCCTCGGTATTTTTCCCCTAGTACAATCTTTAATTCAATAGCAGCTCATTCATGGTGTATGAGATCTATCCGAGGCACTCTATACCAGTACACGAAAAAAAATAGCTACCAATTCCGATAAGTGGTCATGCATTTATGGAAGATCCCTTGAAGATATAATATACACATTATTTAGCCTTTTTAACAACCAGGTGTTGAATGTTAACATTTAAGTGATTTCATCCATTTATTTATAGATTTTACTTGAGTGAAAAAAAATTTTTGCACGCCTCATAACGCGAAGCGGTTGAGGTAGAGCTTTACTACCGACACGTCAAGGTCAAGCTATTTTGTGATATTAAAATGCCTCTATCACAAGCATATTGCACTTATATACACGGAGAAAATTTTATAGTAGAGTTTATTATATCTAGTTATGTTAAAATCTATCAACTGAATTCAATAGTAGTAAATATATTATTTAAATAATTAAGTAAACCATCTGAATTGTAGTATTTATCATCCTGATGGTAACTACTACTATTATGATGGTAATCAGTAATAACAACTGTTATTATTTTAATTAGTTACTACTATTATCAAAATCGTAATTCCTAATATAACCTCATGGTTACAGTTACCATCAGTAATAATAATAACTACTATCTAAGCTAGTAAAAAATATTAAAAAAATTAAGAATCTGCGTTACTGTGGATGCATTTCTGAATAAACTAAAAGCAGCTGTAGTGCAGTGTAGTGCACAAAAAATCCGGATTAAATTCGGATAGAATTTATATTTAAATTTTTATTTGTCTAAAACAAGTTTCAAAAAAATTTGAAATTTCCAAAAAAATCAAAATTTTAAATAAAATTTAAATTAAAAAAAATAATTTTTATTTAAAAAAAAAATTTTTAATCTTGAAAAAAATGAAATTTTCAAAAAAAAATTTTGAAGGGAATTTAAAATATTTTAATATTTCAAAGAAAAAAATGTACATTATCTAAAATATGGATGTAAATAAAGGATTTAATTAAGTAAACTTATATTATTTTTTCTTTCAGAATTTTTACGATCTGAGATGATTACAGTTACCATCTTCGATTGTAACAGTTATAATTTATAATAATTACAATTATTATTTTAGATAGTAATCGTTACCATCATTAATAGTAACTATTAAAATTGTCAATGATATCACCTATTATTTTGTTACTAATTAAGTTTGTTACCATTTTAGATAGTAGGACTTACTATTTTTATATAGTAGATAGTATAATTAATTTTTCTCCGTGTACTTTCAAGTAAAAACTTGTAATTACTGGCGATAACGTCATTAACAGAGAGTTGAGATAGTAAAATAGATTAATTGACACCATTTTATCAAGCTTATTTTAAATATCTCAAGCTATAGTTATAATTTATAATTTGTAATCAATTACTTTTTCATTAAAATTTCTCCTTTAGTCAACACTAACAATCTTTTTAGAATATTGCACGCCTCATAACGCCAAGCGGTTTAGGTAGCGCTTTACTTCCGACACGTCAAGGTCAAGCAATTTTGTGATCTTAAAATGCCTCTATCACGAGCATATTGCACTTATACAATAATATGAGTAGACGTACCTCGAGAAAACACTTCAATTAATCCATCTTGTAGTTTACAAAAATAATTAAATGTTGGTACTTTTAAATAAAAACGTTTGGAAAAAAATTTTACGTGGACGTCCGGATGTCTGTACGCTGATTTAATATGTAAACACGATAACTCCCGAACAAAATAGATGTATCGAGACCGGGCTTTTTTTATTAGTTCCAGAATTCGATTATCTGCTGCCGTATTTAATATCAGTAGCCTAGTTTACGTAGTTTTTTTTTTAAATGAATTTTTATTTAAATTCACAATGATACACACGTACAAAAACAAAATAACTTTTCTTGTTTCTCTCACGTGAAAACTATGGCGCCACTTAATCAAGTTAAAATGAGATCAACCAATCATATCACTAGATTTTTTTAGACTGCGCGCGCATATGACAAGAAAATTCGGCGACAATAATTCAAAAAACAATTATAAAATACTCTGTAAGAAATTATTTTTTTTCCTTTTAAAAACAATTATACAATTTATTTATTTAAAAAAAAAAAATGTATTATAGGAGTGAACTAAAGGCGAGATAAAATAGAAAAAACAATTTTTACTACAAAAGCATTGAAAAATCTAATGAGTCTAAAAGCTTTATAATAAAATTACGCTGTTTGACAGAATGCGCCGTTTCATCTTTCGCATTCGAAAGTCCATTAGCGAAAATTTATTTTCTGCAGAGGAATTTATTTATGAATAAAATATGGTCACCTCAAGTCACTCATTGGTGTATTAAATAAGTGAAATTGTGAATTACTACTCACCTACAGTAGTAAGCAACATGTTGTCTAGAAGAAGCGCAATGGCTACGATAACGAGGACGAGTTTCCGGGATTCTCGACACCGCTGTAACCAACCGCTCCATGCTCCCCCGGCCATCATGCTTGATATATTTTTTCGTTGTCTTCCTCAGCACCTTAAAAACTTAAAAATTTGATCTTTTTTAGAGCTATTATTTAAATTAAAAATTAATATTTTAATATAATAATTATTTGTTAATAATCTTTTAGTATAATTATTTATTATAGCGAACCTTAATAAGTTACTTAAACTATTTTTAATTAAATATGGGCTAGCTAACTAAATAGTAATCTTAATTAATTTTAACACAGAAAATTGAAAAAATATTTTAAATAATTCAAAATAATGTTTATTTGTGTTTAAATTCTAAGAATAGAATCTAAATTGATTGTAAAGACCGTAGAAATTCCGGGAACAAATGACGGAAAAAAAATATCAAGACGTCACGTAATCTCCTGGATCGACTCTCGAAGCCGTAAGTACTCGATAAATAACGTCAGTCATTCTCTTTATAATTACTCAGAAGAGACGAAGAATTGAAGAGCTCTGTTGTAAAAGAACTGCAGCGGTATTTTTTTATCTTTTATACACACTTTTTATTTTTTTCCACTTTCGTTTCTTCCATGAAAATAATGCTCGCACCCAAGGGATTGTGTTCTCAAGGAAATTCTGATTGACTTCCCTTACCACTAATCTCCTTTTTTTCCGCGGGTACTTGCCATTATCAATGTGGATAATTCATTGTTCAGAGAAGGTAAAATTAATGATTACAAATACTAGCAATAATTTTGTTAAATTGCAGTGAATTTTCTTAAATATTGACATTTTTTAAGATATAAACTCATCCTGATGTTACACTCATCAAAAGCTTTCATTTGAGTACCCACATGCATTTTTGATATATTTTTCATATATATATATATAATATACATAAATATATAAAAATAAAATATATGAAAAATTGATGTGGGTACTCAAATGAAAGGTCTCGATGAGTGTAACATCGGGATGAGCTTATATCTTTAAAAATGTCAATATTTCACAAGATACAAGGTCATTTCTTAATTATGTTATCTAGAGATAGAGAATTTTCAATTGCAGCCTTAAAAAATCAATTTTATAATATGACTATCCTAGACACAAAATTTTTCTTATTCTCTCAATAATATAGATGCTTTCGAGTTTTTTAAATAGACTGAGATTTATAAAATTGAAGTAAAGTGGAGAGTGGCAATTTACAAAAGTGAAAAATTGTAAAGTCGAAACCACTTGAAGACTCTTGAAAATTATTTCCGTAAATTTTATTCCGGTACGTCTTTTACACTTTGACCAAGTAAATGGTGTCAATTTTAAAAAGTTCTTATTTGAGGTCGCTCTTTTGTTAAAACTTTCATCGGAAGTCAATTAAATTAGTCACCGAGGGTAAAAAGACACGATTCAGTGTGTACTTTATATATATATATATATATAGTATATGAAAAATTGATGTGGGTAGTCAAATGAAAGGTCTCGATAAGTGTAACATCGAGATGAGCTTATATCTT